ATTCTTATTAGTTATTGGTATTTTTAAACTATTAGGTATAATACCAATATTCCCACTTACCAGTACTATCGTCTACCAGGTTATTCTTAGACCTTCGACTTGAAATTATTTAATATTATTATATAAATCTATCTATTGTCGTCTATCGACGATCAACGATACACTTATTATTATTAATTTCTTAAAAGTGGTGCACATTAGCGACAAATGACAATAATAATTCTATTTAGGTACCTAAATATATATACGTATAATTCATTATATAATATATTATACAATTTTAAAAATAATATCAGAAAATATGATGTTCGTATATTTTTCAGACTACGTCTCGTGAACAATCTAGATAAATTAATTTAGATGACAGGTAGATACCAATTGTGTAATTTACCTAGATAAGATAAAAAATGCGATTGTTTTATCTAGATACATTTATCTAACTAAATTTAGCTATTACACAACACTGGTAATGGGTAAAATATAATAATATATGAATAAATAGTAAAATATAATAATTTAAAGTAATTAATAGAACTAATATTATATACTCGTACATAGTTATAATTTAGTAAACTCACGATATAATGAATGTCTAAAACGAGAAAAAATGTCGAGACAGAAAGTTGTTTATTCAAAATTTGTTATACGTACCGATAACACAAACAAACAAAATTTGTTGTAATAAGATTTATCAAAATTTAAATAAAATAAACACACTAAAAATACATATTACTTTTAATCTAATAATATTTATTTACATATAGATACTGCAACACAACTCTTTCGTCTATCAAAACTAAGTGGTTGTCGATATTTATACCAAATCCTATCCAGTTAAGGAGTAGTTGGTTAGCTATTCCTACTACACGAACCAGTCTTGAGACCCGGGTTGTTGGATCGATACAAATAAAGTTTCCTAAGTTATATTTTACAGGTCCTAGGAACTTATAACCTGCGTTCATACACTAACACAATGGAACACGATAGGTATAGTAACGCACAACAAGATTTATTAAATAACTGAATAATATCTATAGTATATAGTACACAATCACCTGAGTAACTCTGTTCTTGAGGGTAGTATATTGAAGATCACAGGAATAGCGAAGCACGAGCTGAACAATTATTAAGTGATTTTTACAAGGTAGACTTCAATGTGTTTTGGACACGTCTGTGGTTTAGACTCAAATGTCTGGCTATATTTTATAATATACATATATGCTCGTACTCTACGTCAGGGGCGTCATTTGGGGGGGAGGGGGGTGCAGGGTGTACATTTGCACCAACATTTTTTATAAACGCCTTCTTTGGCCTGCCAACAATAAATATAAGCGCCGATATACCTAAGTGTTATATATTAATATATTATATATATATTTTAAATTTTTTCAGTATTTAAAAAAAAATAATAAATATTATAGTTATTAATGGGTTTTATTTCCAAAAATGATCGATGTGGTTGTGTGGTTATATCATAGACATAATATAAAATAATAATAATATAATTATGTCTATATATATTTTTTATTCTCTAACATGATATTATTACCATCGAATATATAAATATCTGTGGGTATAATATTATGCTGGTATAGATTTCTTATCATGCTCCGGTTTCTCTACTCGTTATAATAAGAAAACAACATGATATATAATTCCCATCAAAAGGGAAAAAATTGTCTAAAAATAGAACACYACAGAATATTATTTGTTTACATTTTTAACCTTGTCACTTACTTTCTACGGTAGAAATGGTATTCTATGGTAGAAATTCTACCACCAATTTTAGTACGTCGAGAGTACGATTGCTCTAGTCGTGATCGAGAAAGAAGTGAAATAATAATAATATTTGCTTAATATTTAATATTATACAACCCGACAACCGCCAAGTGTCAGTATTTTAGTCCGTTTAGTAGTTTCAGTTTCTATAAATATTAATTTATATTTTTGTTTTTATAAATATTTATTCAACTGATAAATTATCATTAATAATTAAAAGTTTTTTTTTTAATTTTACGGGTGTATTAAGTATTTTCTATTATGAACGTAGAAAAAATAAAAGGAGGTGCAGCTCGATTAAGAGAAAAAAATAAAAAGCTTTTATTAACAGCTGGTTCAAACTGTCATATCCCTTTCAGGACCACACAGTGATTCAGCCAAAACCAATAAATTTTTTTTTGACACTTCTTCATATTAGTGTTTTAATAAATAAAAATGAAAAAAAATGTTTGTTAAGTGGATAATTGGGACCAAAAAATACATGATGTCAAAACAGATCATTGAGCATTTAAATCTTTATTCATAATAAAATAACTTTTTTATGTTAATAAAATCAAAATAAACCATAAATAAAACTTAAATTTCAGACTTCCTKTATATCAAAACAATTTATAAAAAAACAACTTGCAACAAAACAGTTTATAAAAACAACTTTTAAAAAACTCTAAATAACTTTTTTTAACCCTTTATACATAAATAAAATCATAATAAAACATAAATAAAATTTCAAACTTCTTGTATATAACAACTTATTATAAACATATTGTATAATAAAATAAAAATAATCATAGAAAAACAACTTATTTTTTAAATAAAACATAAATAAAATTTCAGACTTCTTGTATATAACAACTTATTATAGACATATTGTATAATATAATAAAAATAATCATAAAAAAACAACTTATTTTTTAATAATGACATAGGTAATTGCTTATGAGATCATATTTTCTTTATATCACAATTTGGTGTGGAACAAACGAAAACAGTTTTTATTTTTATTGAAGCATAAGTATATATCACATTTTATGCATTTCATACGTGAATAATTTGAATAATGCTTACATCTTTGTCTCTCATCTGTGGGATTCGGCCAATGATCAACATTATCAAACCGAACGTCTTCACTTGAGCGGGAAGCAAAAAGTCTTCTTCTTTTAGTTGGTGGTGTAGGTGTTCTTAGTGATGGACGTCCTTTTTGTTTTTTCAACTTATCTTTACCTGCCCGCAAAAGCCCTTCAGCAATATCTGACTTAAATTGCAACATACTTTTATATTTAACAATATTTAATTGTTTACAGTGACGCCTATACAATAACCATGCATTCACAGCACACATGTCCAACAGATTATGTACAATTCTCAAATAATAACGCTTTACTTTATTTTCTGTTCTATAGAGTTCTACTAACATGTTATGTAAATCTATTGTCCCCATGAAATTGTTATATCCTTTGATGCATGCTGGCCTTACAACAGGAACATATTTTTTACTTGATACACTCCACCTTTGTACAATATCAGTTGGTTCAGCACCCATGTAATTAGATAACATGTGTACAAATTTATTATCAAACCACTTGCATCCAAAAATATTGTTTGTGGTGTCAACTTTATATTCATATGTTCCACGTCCTTTTACCTTCATATTTCCATCACTTGTAAACTTGCAGTTTCCTGTTCTGTTTGCCCTGACTGTTCCAATACACTGTGTTCCAGCAAAATTTGAACGACATTGGAGAGCATAAGAATTAAACCAATTATCAAATGCTTCCTTATGGTTTTCAAATTTAGGAACACAATCCAACAGTCTCATAACAATGTCACCACTTAAACCAAGACCCATATGTGATTCTTGAATTGTGCCTTTTCCCACATATATCTCGAAATCATGAACAATTCCACTTTTTGATGCAATAGAAAACATTTTAATGCCCCATTTATGAGGTTTATTTTTGATGTACTGTTTTAGTTTTGATCGACCTTTAAATGGTATTATAATTTCATCAATCGCACTATATTTTTCGATTTTAATTTTTTTAAAGTTATTTCTTACAGCCTCAATAAATGGGCGAACTTTAAATAATTTATCATGGTTAACATTATCCCTGGGCACAATATTATCATTGTTGTTCAAGTGAAAATATGTGCGCAATTTATCGAATCTGTTGCGGGACATGGTATCAGAAATCATAGTAAATGTAGTTTGTCTTGACCAAAACATTCTGTAACTTGGCATTTTTACAATGCTCATGTAAAAATGAATACCTATACACTGCTCCATTTCTGATATATTTGTATTAATACTAGATCCAGTTACTTGACATGAATAGTAATTGGTTTGTTCAACATTTTGAAATATATTGTCATCTACAAAAAACTTAAAATATTGAAGTGGAGATAGATTTTCTATAGGGGGGTCTGGTAATGAGGAAGTGCAAGTTGGGTATGATGTAGTCCAAGTGTTATTAGTCCAATTAGAGTATCCTAAAGGAATATTACTCCAGTCATACTCGAGATCGTTATCGTTTTCATTTTCTTGTAAAAAGACTAGTTCTAGTATATCTGGAAGTGGGTTATTAGGAGGTTGTATTTCTTGAATATCCTCTTCCTCTGTCATTAATTCAAGTACTTCATCTAAATTATCTACATTAACTTCAAACCCTTCATCCAGCTCCTCAATGTCTGACAAATCACCAACTAATAAAAAGTTTGCAATTTCATCGTCAGTTAATCGTTTGTGACACATGTTGATAAAAAACTGAAATTGAATACAAAAAAACTTTGTATAATAACGAAAAACATACATGATGCCAAACTAAATCACTGGGATTTTATGTATATATAAAAAAAAAAATTATTAATTACATATAAGCCCAGTGATCTTATTTGGGATCATGATGTAATATCTAACACGTTTCGTTTCTAACGAATAATATCAAGGTTCAAATGCACAAATTATGTTAATCAATACACTTAGAATTCAAAAATATTTTTTTTAAAGCTCTAAAATAAGTAAAACTTACCGAAATTGATGTTCGAAAAATACGTTTTAATGAATCACATCGATCGATAGAAAATGATAACAATAACAACTATTATTGATAAAATATATCATGAGGCAACTGTAACAGTATGACCAAAATAAGAAAATAAAATTCCCTATCGAATAGCACAATCAAATATCATATTTGACACCTCGGTACTGTTGTGTGAAGGCTTTAAAAACATGATGACAAAATGAGTCACCAGCCCTCAATATCTGAAAAGCAAAAACCAGATAATTTTTTAGTATGACTAAAATGTATTCATACATTTTTCTACTAAATTTTACTTAATTTTTCACTAAATTATCTAGGAATCTGATAGCTTATCAGAATCTATGAAGAGTTCTGCCACACATATTAGTAGTTATTTGAACAATGAAGAAAGCAAATTTTTTGAAAAGGAAGAAATAGATCGTAGAGTCTACGTTCCTGTGTTCTGTTAACCTAAGCTAAATCGGCGAGCGCGACATAAATGATGAGTCAGTAATCTGTAAATCGTTACAATACTTAATATAGTAAGATCATATTACATAATATATATTAAATAAATTAGCACATTATTGCATGRTAATCGTTACACAAACTTTTTAATACCTTGCAAGTTAATTATATTACATATATTTGACGAAGCCATTGTACACTAACAGAAATGTAATTTATCCCAATAAAAATTAAAAATTCGTAATAGGGAGCTTCAAAYCTATAAAAATTCGTTACATCACGATAGCTTTCGCCAAAAAAACTTAGTTGTATCAAGTGGACCAAAAGATATTTAATTGTTCGTTATATCACGATATTTTTAAGAAAACGACAGCTGTTTCATTCGTTACACTGAGATTTTCATTATATCAAGCTTTGTTTACTATATACATATAGTTTGTTGCTGCCTTTTTAATGATAAATTGTGATTTCTCGTCAATTTTATAACTTTTAGATTCTGAGCGGAGCGATGAATGTATTTATTTTACCATGATGTGTTTTAATTTTTTTTTTTTTGTGTCTGTCATCACGTTTTGGGGCATTAAAAGTGCTTCGATTTTTGACTTCAGTACGTCGTTTGATCAGAAAGTGAATCTAGTTGGTACTTTGGAGAGGGGGGGGGGTCAAAAGTAAAAAATTCTTAATATTTTTCTAAATAATCGAGAAAAACAAACTAAAAATTAAGGGAAAAACGGGAAATTTTACGCACACTCATTTTTTGACAAAATCAATTTTGGTTTTTGGTGTAACTTTAAAACAAATGACCATAGATACATGAAATTTTCACCGAATGTTTATATAAGTATATTCTATCCACCATGCAATTTTCAAAAGATTTCGACTTCAGTTGAACTATTTTAGGTATATGCAATTTTCGATTATTATTAGTATTTTAAAAATAAATATCGATAAAAATGTATTTGTTGGGTAGAAAAGCTTGAAAATTTAATACAATATAAATCCATAGTTACAATTCTTTTTTATAAGCATTCAAAGTTTGAATTTTGACAACATATTATGTAAAAATCACGAAAATTCTTAAATTATTTTATGCTAGAAATTCATAAAAAATTTTCTTTTAAAATATAAGATTTGAAAATTTAATACAAGATTCCTTACAAGTTTATTAATCTTTATCGCAAATAAAAAGTCCACCGGAAATTCAAATTAAATTTTTATAAGCATTTGAAATTTAAATTTTTACAATATTGGATTTCCACTGGATTTCACATTCAGTGATTTTCTTATTTTGGTGTAACTCTAAAAGTCTAAAACAAATGACCGCAGATACTTTAAATTTTCACTGAATGTTTATATAGATATTTTCAATATTTTATAACATTTTCAAAATATTTAGATTTGTTTTGAACTGTTTACTGACATTTTAATTTTTCAACTTTTTTTTTTTTTTCTATAAATATCGATAAAAATTTATTTGTTCTGTAGAAAAGCTTGAAAATTTAGTACAAGGCTTTTAACACATTTTAACAATAGCAGTTGAAAAATAAAATATATTCATGGTCACAATTTTTTTTTTTTTACAAGGATTCAAAGTTTGAATTTTGACAACATACGTAAAAATCACGAAAATTCATAAATTATTTTATGCTGGAAATTCATAAAAAATTTTCCTTTTATATCTAAGATTTGAAAATTTAATACATAGCACCTATTATATTTTTATAATAG